TATCGATTGATGATATAATGAAAGATTGTGTGATAATATATCAACCTTTAGTATAAAATATCAAATGGCCTGAACGATGGCACGGAACGTGTTAACAAGTCCCATTAGGGGCCATTCCAATCTTATCCCTTATAGTGAACAAATACAAATTACAATGCACTGAATGTTTTAAGGATGGAAAACTAGCGGGGCGACAGCCTTGGCGACAGCCACAGGTTTAACAACAGCCACTGGTTCCCTGTGGACAACCGCGTTGAATCCATTCACAGGATCCGCCGTGTACTCGACGATCCTCCTGGTGCCATCAGCTTCGATGAAGCTGTAGCTACCGCTGACTATATCGCCGTTCCTCGTCTCTTGTTGAGACTTCGAGTCGCCTGTCAGACTATCTTGCACGTCGTACGCGTAAGTGTATTGCGGATGAGGATCGTAGTTAAGTGCTGGTGCGATTTTAGCCAATGGCACTGCCGGCAGAGGAACTGCTGCTGCCTTGCACGTTGCGAACACACCGATCGCCAATACGATAATTGCTTGCTAACGAAGAAAAGAAAATATTTAGCAAATTAAATGATAAAAATGAAACGTTAGATTATAAATTGTAATGTAATACGTAAAATATAGTAGGCATATTTAGGTAAAATTAAGTTATATAATGGTAAAAGGAAACGGGAAATGAAGGTACAATCATTAGATTTAGAATGTACATCATGTACGAAATTTTATGTACATGAGAATTTCATTCAAAACCGTACTGTATGCAACGAAGTTTTAATTCTTTTTCTATTAACAAGTGCGCGAATATATTTTTAATATAGCTTTAGTATTTTCTTTTTTTTAAGTGTGCAATTAAATTATAAAAACTATGTATTTTGTATATATTGTATTTTATGTATTTTGTATATATTGTATTTTATATATTTTGTATATATTGTATTTTATGTATTTTGTATATATTGTATTTTATATATTTTGTATATATTGTATTTTATGTATTTTGTATATATTGTATTTTATGTATTTTGTATATATATTATGTATATTATGTATATATTTTATGTATTTTATGTATTTTGTATATATTATATTTTATGTATTTTATGTATATGTATTTTGTATATATTGTATGTATTTTGTATATATTATATTTTATGTATTTTGTATATATTATATTTTATGTATTTTGTATATATTGTATTTTACGTATTTTGTATATATTATATTTTATGTATTTTGTATATATTGTATTTTACGTATTTTGTATATATTGTATTTTATGTATTATATATATATTGTATTTTATGTATTTTGTATCTATTATGTATTTTATGTATTGTGTATATATTGTATTTTATGTATTATATATATTGTATTTTATGTATTTTGTATATATTGTATTTTATGTATATTCTATGTTTTGTATATATTGTATTTTGTATATATTGTATATATATTTTATGTATCCAGAAATAATCAATAACTGAATGATTGAATTGACAAACCAGGGTGAATTAATAAAACAGTCGATCAAATTAACAGTTTTTAAGTTCCTTTTTTTTTTTAATGATAACTCAACTAATTGATAAAACAATAAAACAATCAGTCAAATTAACAGTTTTTAAATTTCTTTCTTTTTACCCTGTTCTCACCTTAATAGCCATGTCGATTGGTATTATGGATAATCCTACGGATTGAACGAATGTCAAGGAGGAAACTGACTGTTTAGTTTCCAGTGACAAACGTATTTATAGGTGTACGGGGTAGGTGTACGTGAACCGATGCTCATCGTAGCTCTCGATACATCGCAAACAGCTACAAACAGCGTACGTGACACGATTCAAAATACGGTAGAAAAAGTTTCGCTCTGATTTTTAATTCTTTAATAGTTGCATATTGTATATCTTTTGACATTTTGGCAGTAATTCTTCTGTCAACTCAAATCAATATATTGAAAACTGCTGTTCTTGCAACTGTTATAAAAAATTCATTGTATCTTGTTGTAATCATAAATGTTCATTTTTTAAATTAATACATTATATACACTTTCAACACAGATTTATTCAGTTAGATTATAATTTTTAATATGTAACTCTTACGCGAGTTAGAGTTAACTCTTACATACTTTTAATATGTAAATCTTACATCTTAAATCCATATCAACGGAATGATTAGCTTAAATTAGATCTTAACATGTTTGGAATTCAATTAATATAATGATATCGCAATATATTTATCATTCATTGAAGAAACGAAAAAAGAACTGTTGAATACGATGATGTGTAATATATACATAATGATGTGTAATATATAAAAATTTAGAGGAAAACAAGAGCAATAAAATTCGGACAATAATTCTTCCAGCTTAAAACTGTTGCGCTTTCACCGTTGCGTAATTTCACGTAGTTTTAGTCACAGCAGCAAGTGTAACGTTTCCGTCACATGGTGCGAAGAATACTAAACAGCCAGAATGATGATCCGTTTGGAATGCTCGTATTTCCTTTCTCTTGTCTCTGATCTTTCTTAGTTATTCGAATATTCTCTTAAATATAAGTTGAAAATACCTTGAAACTAATTGAAAGTTAAAGGGTAAGAAAGGAGTATCATAAAATAGCTTTATTGAGAAAATTAACTCTCGAAATACAGATATCTGGAACCGATGATTAAATCAGATGAGATCTACGCTAAGATTTTACAAATTCTATCAATAATGAGTTAAATGTTGTCAAATGTCAAATGCGCAAAAATATCATCATCGTTTTAAACTGCATAATGAATTTATCAAATACTCATTATACTTTATGTTTTTATTTATCCTTATCAATGTTCTTGAAATTCAATTATATCTTAACATCTAATTGAAGATAGATGTTTATACTGTAATACATAGTGGTATACATATAAAATACATATAAAATATACTGTATATTAATTTTGATCGATTAAAATATTAAATACGAATTAAATAGTACTGCTTTTTACTTGTCATTCAAATAAAATTAAGGAAGATATAAAATATTCTTTACAATATGAAAGTATAAATAATTTAAAATATTCAAGCTATTTTAGCAGCCTTATTTTTATACAATGATACAAGTACATTTATCACTAATAGGATTAATTTTGAACATTGTTAACTAATAATTCAATGAACATAATTACTAAAACTAATTACATGTTGTAAATTTACCTTAAAAATTCTTAATGACAATATTATTTAGTATAAAGTGATAAGTTGATAGAAATCTAAACATCCCAATTTACAGGTAACAACCATAAATAAACATTCAGTTTCAAAAAAATAGGTTTTATATACCATGTACACTTAGTATGCTATAATATTATGGCCATGTAATCTTTTGTCTCTTCCTTGATGGAGCACCCTAAAATATATGAAAATGTTTATTTAATGTTTAAATAAACATCATTTATGTTCATTACTTTTTATTTATATATTGACAAATAATCCTCTGACTTTCTCAATTCGTATTAATCATAAATGAACATGTATTTACAAACATAACATACACAATAATATAAACCAATCTTGATTATAAGCGATTTTGAATATTTAAAAGACATACATACATCGTGCTTTTCATCATTAGTACGTTTGTCAATACCATTAGATTTTGTAAAATTATTTGAATTATGTAAACATATTTTTTTTGATGTTTGTTTACGGTCATTCGCAGGGGATTTTGATCTAACACAAGAAGACTCTGCCAATTTTGTTGTTCCATTTACATCTGTTTTACTACTTGTACCGTTCCTGTAAAAAATTGATGTAATTATTTTATTAAGATGTACAACACAAAACCAGATACAATTTTGTATTAAATAAATTCAAGGTAAATATCTTCATTTACATTAAGACAGAATTTCTATGTAATTCGTCAATATGATTAGTTCCTTCATTATGTTGTTTTTTATCTGAATTTTGAATGCTCTCAGATTGTCTCTGAGGTAGTGGTAAAGCCACCCGTTTATATAGTTCTATTAATTCAAATCTGGATAAATTTTTATAATCACTGAAGTCAATACACCTCTATAAACAAAGCAAAATAAAAAGCTGATTAAATAATTGTAATTTATATGATCATACATAAAAATTTATTTATATATATATTTAGCAATGCTAATAGTAATTTAAAAAAAATTTTGCAATCTTATATTTAAACTAAAATCATATATTTAGCAATGCTAATAGCAATTTAAAAAAATTTGGTAACTTTTTATGTTTAAACTAAAATTAATAAAAATTAAAAATATTTAATTTTACGTTTATCAAATCTCTTGAAAATTTTATATAGTAATAAGTAATGTCAGATAAGATAATATAAAAAAAAGAGAATAATAATACTTTGAATCATAATACAGATAATATTTCAGAGAAAGATCTTCAGATCTATTTGCAATTAAATAACTATCAACATTATCAATTATATCTGTAATTAAATAACTATCACTTTAATAGACAAAAAAAGAAAACTAAATTCAAGATGTGATGAAGGAAAGTCGTCAATAAACATAACCTGCTTTACTTACATTCTCTAAAATTTCCTTAAGATCAGATTCTGATAATAATTCGGGATGAGTTAATTCGTACATTCCCAACGTCGACATTGTATTGAATACTTTCTTCACTAATAAAAACTATTCCATAATATTAAGTGATCATTTATTGATGACCTACGTATATAGTAATACTCGATGGTTTATACTTATCATTCGATAGAAGAATGATAATACTGATAATTCAGAAGTATTCATGAGTATACACTCATCAGTTTGTAAACTTTATGATAAATCTTGTAAAAGAATTTCACGTATATGTAACGTGAAATATAAGATTTATTATCATTATCACGCAATCACATCTCATTACACTGATCACTAATTTCTCGTGAATTCATATGCATGTATGTTTGTAACAGTCATTAATTAAGAATAGAATAGACGTACAATGCTTTTTCTTGTTTTTGCGTTTCGAAGCATTGACTAAAAATAAAATAGATCTGACATGAAATGAAATTTCGTGTCTCAGAATCTGAATTACCGACCAGGAAAAAAATTACTGGTTAACGTATCTTTAAACACAGACAAAGTTGAAAAACTATATCAAGTAAAATGCGACAAGAGACATGAGTCTTGAGGAGGTGGCATGACGAAGCTCCCTGTCGGTGCCCCTTATACAGAGGTTCTTCGAAATAATTTTAAGCGGGAATATTTCGAAAACTAGAAGCAATTTCTCGTTCAAAATTCAAATTTTGTATCAGGAGCACATGAGTCTCGAGGAGGTGGCACGAGAGAACCCTACGGCCAGCGGTGACGTTTGCGAGACCGTTTCAAAACATTCCTGTTTTGAAATTTTTAAAAATCCTCTGCATCAGGAATACTGTTGGTTAGAGTGTCACTTGCTCGAGATTCATGTTCTCCTGACATAGATAGTTTTCAAAAAATCTTTAATCGGAATTTCTGCTCGAAAGCAGAAGTCAATTATATGAGCATTGACTATAATATAATATGAATCTAAATTAAATATAGTGTGATGTTTGAATTTCTAATCAATGAATTTTAACTGAGTTACTACTTCTTCATTGCCCAATAATTTTATAACTTTTACTCTTAACAAAAGAAATAATTAAAATTATGTGTGAAATAAATATTAAATATGTGTAAATATATTTAAGTGATAATTATATATATGTAAATAATATGATGATTTTAATTATGAATCAAACATGATATAACCAAGTACAACTCAGATGTATTTTCGCGCGCCGATATTTTGAACTATTTCGATATAACCGACGCGCTTGCGCAAAAATCTATAGAAGGACCGCGGAAATTTGAAAAACACATTTTAGAGAATTATCAGGAATACAAACATTCACAAAAAATCCGTTTTCAATATTATTGTATTATTGTAATGTTTGAAATTGAAATTGTAACGAACGATGTTATCTAGTATCGTGTCATTCATTCCTTATATTTATTTTCAACATAAAATAGAGAATATTTACACAATCAATCTTTTTAAATAAATTATATAATGAAACTAAATATTTTATAAGTAATGAGACCATAAAATTGAGAGACACAGTGAAAAGGGATAAAAAGGAATAAAAAGGACGATTTGATATCGTGCTTTTTTCTAAAACTAATTTTCTTTATTTCTTTCGTCATTAGATTTTTCATTATTGTATTCAATGTGATTTAAATTTTTTCATTTCATTTCATTTGTAATTCTTTAATACCTAACTATGTATTGAAAAAAGTCTACATATTATCGTAACAATTTGAAATAATAAACAACAAAGATGAGTAACAAATAATTTACATTCATTGAAGCTCATTTACACTTCTCACACAAACATGAATAGCATTACAGTAAATAAAATTTTATGATTCTCGTTTTTCTTTCAATTTAACGTCTCTTGAAAAACAGCTCCATTTTCTATAAGAGTAAACAAATTAACATTTTGTTACAGAACAAAATTATTTCTGAAGATGCATTTCATAAACATGGTAGAACAATTGTTATCCAATTTTTAAACTAATTATGATATTTGAAATAGAATATGCTCAGAACTGTGATTTTATATATAAAAAGTCCTCTTAAAGTAGGTATTACAACCTTAATTGGGCATAAATTCAATTAGCAACATTTTAAATTTTATGTTGTATTTCGTTAGACTGGACAAAATCGTCCTGAAAGATTTCCTTTGTTTTTTACTTAATTTTTTTCCTCCCTAAAACTGTATCCAATCGTCAAAACCTGAGATTTTTACTTTAAATTCCAGTACGTAACACTTTCACAATTTTCATTCAAAATAATTTTAATTAATTACATTAATGTCCACTTCTCGTTTCTCTGTGCGTATTAATCTTTTTTTTTTTTATTCATTCCATTCTAATAATTGATTCTAATCATAATTACCATTTATAAATTATAAGTAATATCGATCTTGTTCCTTCAAATAAAGAAACGGTAATCGTGATTATATTATTATAACGATTTTCCGATAATTTTATAATATTAAACATTAAAAGTTATATGCATTTATTTCTCTATCGACAATGTATATCAATATAAATATTATTTTGTTTATATTATTATTAATGTAGCTCACGTTACAATTGTATTATCAACCAACGCTTTTTGACGTAACTTCTCTAATCTGAACGCCATTATCTAGTGACATTATGATATAATTCGCGCAATGATCCTCTAAAACCATTTATTAATAGTTTTGATAGCCAAAACGATCAATTGCTGGCAGAAATTGTAAATAAAATAATAATAATAATATCCATTAAAGAACAAAATGTTAACAATTGTAATAAAATTAAACGCTAGAGAATAAATGTAAATCAACTTTTTTATAAAAAAACTCGTTGAAATTATGATGTCAGAAATTATGATGATTATCATAAATATATATAATTTTTAAATAATAGGCATGCATTACGAATATTATCCTAATTAGAATGAATCTCTGTTTTATCATAAAGCAATTTATAAACGAAATAAACAATAAGTCGGCATGTTTATGTAGTATGATTAACTGCATATTAATTTTGATTAATTTTAAATAGTTAATAATTAATAATTAATAACCAATAGTTAATATATTGGAAATTAAATGATTTAAATTATAGTTTTTATTGATATATTTTAACAATATATCAATAAAATTTACTCCAATTAATTTTATTGTAACATTGTTTAATAAAGTTCTAGTATACCAATGGTTATATTAATATTTAAAAAGAAAGATGTTATATATTATTGGCAATGTTTGATTAATAAGTCATGAAAATGAAACTGATACAAATAATTTAATCTAACATGTTCTCAATGAATTATATATTTTTGTCATTCATATGACTAGAGACCAATTCAAAATGGTCCCACTTTAAGAGATATGTGAAAAATTACAACTACACCAAAATATCTACATTTCCACCAGCAACTTGTTTAAAAAATATCGAGTACATATGT